AGGTTATATATGAATTTTCTCAATAATTCACCAGCCCAAGGAGACACCTAAGTGCCAGCCCAGATGTGGGAGCCGGGGCACCTTTGCTCGCCCTCACTTTATCTTCCAATGGATTTAATCCAGTCTTGTCAACTCTGTAGTCCAAGTAGGTCACTCAGGGTGCCTGGAACACACATTTTCCCCTCCTAAGGCATTGGAAAAACGTTTAAGCACTATGTCCAAGTTCTCTAAATGCTCTTTATTGGTTTCCCCAGTTATTAGCACATCATCAAGATAAATGGCGACCTGGGGTCGATGTTGTAAAATGTTCTCCATCATCCCCGGGGAAAGGGCGCAGGCTGACAATACCCCAAACGGCAGTCTTGTATATTAGTACGAACCCTTATGGGTATTAATTGTAGCATACCTCTGGGAATCCTCATCTAATCACAATTGAAGATATGCATGGCTCATGTCCAGCTTTGTGAAGGACAGCCCCCCCCCGCTAGTTTTTTGTATAAATTCTCTTTGCGAGAGATTGGGTATTTTTCCAGCTGCAAAAAGCATTTACTGCTTGTTTAATATCCCCACAAAGGTGAACCGACCCATTGGTCTTCACAATCGGCACGACTGGGTGCTGCCCATCCCGCAAATTGGACTGGTTTGATGATTGCTTCACTTTCCATTTCCTGATTTCTGCCTCTACTTTTGCCTGTCAGGCAAATGGCACTGGATGGGCCTTGCAGAATTGTGGAATTGCTTCCTGGTCAACATGCAAGGTGACCTTGGCCCCTTTGATAGTCCCTAGACCTTCCTGAAAAGCAGCTGGGTATTTAATTAGGACTTCACTCAGCAGCAATTTTCTAGTCGAAGAATGTTGAGCCAATCAAGGTGAATCTTTCTCAACCAGTTCCACACCATCAGGCTGGGCCTGAGCCTTTTACTACAATCAGTGGGAACTGAGCCAGCTAGTTTTCATAAGAGACTGGAACCGAAGTTGTACCCTTAATCTGTAAAGGTTCCCTGGTATAGGTTCCCAGTCTAGCTGAGGTCTTACGCAAATGTAGGGGTTGGAGTCCAGAATGAATTTTGTTAAAGACTGGTTCTGCAATCACTGACACAGCCGCACTGGTATCAACCTCCATTAGAACTGGGTGACCATTTAACCAGATGTTTGTTGTGATTGGTTCTGATTTGGATGTTGTTAAGCAATTTAACTGTTTGAAACCAGCTCTAAGTGGACTTTCCAGGGTATGCACTCTCCTGGTTACTGGCCTATGAGTTCTCTTACTCAGTTCAGGCCTAGTGGGACTTTTGCTGTCTCAAGTCCACATACTGGCACAACTACAATGACTTGCTGGCCTGGATCCTGAAGAAAATGTTAATCTTTTGGCTGAGGCTTGGCTTTGTGTTGGGGTTTTGCTGTGGGCTGACCTAGTCTCTCTGTTCAGGATATGTCCTGAGTGAGGCTATGCAATTACCTTCATTCAAGTGGTGTTGCCCAAGATCAATCAGACTGGTGAGGATGTCCACTTCCATCAGAATACCGTGCACCACATATGCTCCACTTGTCACATTTTCAAATGATAAAGCCAGTTGTAGTGCCTGTTTGAAGTCCAATTGGGCTTTAGCTGGTAGGCACTTTTGCATGGTCACATAATTAATCCCACATACCAAACAGTCTCTCAGCATCTCACTTAGGGTTAAATCAAAATCACATGCCTCTGCCAATTGCCTTAACCTTGTCAAAAATCCCAATATAGATTCCCCTAGTTCTCAAGCTGCCGAGTAAAACCGATAGCGTCTCAGAATTAGAGGAGGCTTGGGATCGCAATATTCCTTAACTAAATCTGTCAACTCTTGAAAGGTTTTAGTATCTGATGCCTCAGGGAAAGTTAGGCTTCCAATAAGCAAAAAAGTAGTGGGCCTGCAAGCTGTCAGGAGAATTACTTGTTGCTTTTCATCTGCTCTAATGTCATTTGCCTGGAAAAAAACAATGCATTCTTTCCACATACTGGGCCCAGTCTTCGATGGCAGAATTGAATGAGTCAAGCCTCCCAAATAACGGCACAATGCCAGAAATGATAAGCCCAACTCAAAGACGACTATTGTAAGTGAATCTCTTCAGGGGCATGTTTTTCTCTCAGTACCACTGAAATAACTCTGCAGTGGCCGGTATCCCATCACCAATTCACCCTTTATTTCCACATGGAGAGTCCTTGACACTGATCTAGCTTCCTCAGAGCCAGCTCTCAGAGTGAAAAGAACCTCTGGCACTCCTGTATATATCTGTCAGCCAGGGCTCCCTGATTGGGGCTGTTAATCTGGTATAATCAGGGAACTCATATCCTATGAGGTCCATCTGGCTGACCTCATTCTAATCACTACAACTATACCTATAGGTTCCCCCTTATTCTCAGTGCTCCCTCAAAAAACTCCAATTAGTCAAGCCTG